GTTGCCTCTGTTAGTTTTTCCACCTAAAACTACAAAATAGTAATACAGTCATATCAAAGCTGTTTTATTGTTTCACATCAAATAGTTTAAGAATGAAACCAATATTATCGATATTCATTTCATTGCCTGATAAACTTGTTATCTTGTTACAATAATTCCTGCATCAACGTTTGTAGAACTTGAAATATTTCTTTAAATTAAAACTACTAACTCTTAATCTTACTATGTTGGATTTAAGTCTACATGTAGTATAGTATTTGAATCGACAAATGTATGCATTATTCAACAGAGATCAGTGGTCAATAGCTCAATTAGAAGGTTACCCCTACACTGAAAATAATAATGCAACTGTTAACAGATAGCCAAATTCTAAACCAAATTATTCATTAGTACCAAACCTTTTATGTATACTTATATAATATACTGCTTTGGAAGTTTATATTTACAATTTTGTTTTTTGTAAACTTCCATCAAGTCAAGTTATCGAAACATAAGTTTTGATAGCAATGGTTAATATGGTTACGAAAACAATTTCGACACCGATGTAAAAAGAAAAGGTAGCTATTTAAAACCTTGAAATTCAGTCATTCACTATAATGTAACCAGTTTCCAACAACTTGCATGCAAAATGTATATATCTGAGTTGTCTAATCTTGGAAAATATGTAAAAAGTCAATTGACCAAGATTATTTGAAGGAGAAAATCAAATTTTTGTTTATCATTTTTCGTATTAAAACATGATATTTATATTTAATTACCATTGACTACATGTATGTAAGGTAGCAGAATGTCTGTAGTTTATTTTCTTATTATTGCTTAAATGCTTAAACACAACTGATCATTTAATATGAAAAAAGTGCATCAATAACACATATGTTTGAATTTTTTTTAATAAGATTTAAAAAATCATAATTTAAAAAAAAATCAAAAGTGACCTTTTTTCAATCAAAATTAAAAAAAAAAACTATACCCTCTGAGATTTTTTTTGTCAAGAATGCATCAGATGCAATATTTCTTAATGGTGATATTCGTTTGTGCCACAAAATCTGGAACAACAAATTTTGGAGCCATAAAAATGGGTTATTTTGAGAATTTTTGCAATTATGATTTTTGGAAAAACTTCCAATTTTAAAATTCAAAATTTTTATTATAAATGAAAGAATTCTCCAAACTTTCAAATATATTTTGAAACACTAATATATAATAGTTTAATAGCAAAAGAAAAACTGTGGATATATCTAAGACTCAGTACGACGTCCAGTCTCTAATCGACGTCCGTTCCTCAAATCGACGTCCAAATCTGACGTCACAATAAAAAACACATTCCAAATCGACGGCCTATTTTATGTTCGTCAAATCGACGTCTTTTTTGATGTTTTCAAATCGACGTCAAGTTGTTGTCGTCTCTAATCGACGTCCGTGTTATGGACTTGTCGCAGTGAAATCACATCTTTATTATAAAGTGTAAGTTGAACCTTTAGCTCAAAAAGTTGTTCAAAAATATAAGACCAAATCATGATACTTAAACAGTTTTCAACAATTGGCCGTACGTTTCTATTCCTTCTATTGTTTGAGTCAGAATAACATTAACGAAACCAATTTTTATGCACTAAATGCGCATTTCGACAATCAATGTCGTTTAACTGATGCTACAGGCCAAAATACTTGAAAATGCAAAGCTTATAAAAAAGACGAAGAGCTATAAAACAAAAAGGACAAAAGTATAGCCAAAGCCGGGCAAGGAATCAGAGCTTTGTATGAGGGACATAATTTCAAATAATACCAAAATTTTGTAACAGAAAAATTTAAGTAACACAAAATCCGTATTTCATGCCAGTACCGAGGTACTGCCTACTGGGCTGGTGATAACCTTGGGAACTATCAGTTCACCAGCAGAGTCATCGACCCAGTGGTAGTAATATCATAAACGGAACCATTTGTTTTCTGCACCAGATGCGCATTTCGACAACCTACTGCTCTCTAGATGTCTTTCGATTATCTTTGTCTTTAGTTTGTTGTCTTATTGTCGTACAATATAAGAAAACAGCTATAGCTTCTGTAAGCTACTTCACGAAAAGACAAAACGATACAGACAAAATCAACATAGATCAAATGAATCAATGAAATTTATAGACATCGAGTTGAAGCAGACTATCATCAATCAGACCTCGTTTTGTAATCAATAACGGCACATTCGACGTTGATTAGAGAGTGAAAATATTGGACACTTATTTGACGTCAGATTTGGACGTCGATTTGAGGAATGGACGTCGATTAGAGACCGGACGTCGATCTGAGTCTAACATATATGTTCCCATGCTATTACAATAAAACTGGTATAACAGGAAAAAATTGACTTTTCCTCGAGCATTTATGACGTTTTTCAAGCAAATTCAAAGTCACTTGTTTCCATGGCAACCAACACTTCAACTTTTGGAATGATTATTATTTTTGTTGTCAGTGTTCCATGACAAACCCATGATATGAATATAAAGGAAATCCTGGAGTACGCATTTCTCATTTTCTTTGAAATTCTTTGATGCTTACAGAGAATGACTCTTTCCTAACGTTCAACTTATGCACATTGTTGTACTGCATTTCTGATATACCAATTTCGAGTTCCCTAGTTAAGAATGATTTAAGCATCTCCTCTGTATTTTCATCATTACCAATTCGATCTTACGTTCCACAGTCCCATGATAAAAGTACCAAAAAAAGGAGTTGAATATCAAGTGACATGAATGCTTCGCATATGATAAAGAGATATATTTGTTTTTAATATGATCGAATGTTTATCAGTCTACGCCATACTTTATTATTTAATATATAACTACCACCAATTATATATTTAGGAAAATTTCATGAGCAGTTGTTTAAATTTATTAAGTATATTATTTTAAGATAATACGTCATAATTCAGTTGAATACTTTTGTCTTCAAAAATGCTTCAGAAATATATAGACTTCTGTATTTCGTTAATTTCCTAAAGTAAGAAACCAGAGAATGTGCTCCAACGGACATGAATGTAGAACGGACGCGCTCCAAAAACACCATGCTTGACGAGTCTTACTTTATCTTCTTTTTTTAGTTTCAAAATTATGCTGTTTGTTGCAGTATTACCTGTTATAGTTGCAGCATACGTATAAATCCACATTTGATCCTGTTCATTTATTTTTAGTGACATTTCCAATATTAATCCCCTATTTGTAAATATTGTAGAGGTGAAATAGTATGTTCTGCTATTGGGGCCGTAAAAATACAAGTAGCGGCGTTATAAGAGTTACCATCGTTAGAAATTATTTGATAAAATATAACCGTATTCCAAGGATCAATATCTTTAATAGAGGTTCCAAGTCTCGCAGAGAACGATATGCCATTGTGTTCTTTGTTTTCTGAAAGATAATGACAAATAGGAAAATATATTGAATTTCTTAAATGATTCAATCATCTTAGGCAAATCATAGAGATGCTGATATTTGTTTTCGGAAATGATCAATAGACTTTTGTTTTATCAAGAGATTATTCTGGAAATATGTCATACGTTGAAGCATGTAAAGGGAAATTCTAGTTAATCTTTGGTTAAAGACTTGTTTTATCCACCAAGAAAATATGCTCTCAATGATAAACAATTATCAAAATATACTACATAAAGTCCAACTTGCATTTTGTCATTTGTGCAGGAAATTGTTGAATAGATTGTACTTGTTGCTTAACAATCTTTTCTTGATAGATTAAACGTGTCAACACCAAACAATACTTGTCTTGAACCTGTTGGTTATAAAGAGACACATGAGGGATAATTCGGTAAGAGAACAATCCCAAACGAAACACTGGTTACTGGTCACTTCATTGTTGCTCAGTAAATGCAGGCAGGAAGAGGTGCTCAAAACATCCATGGGCAGGGATATTCAGCATTTTCTGGATTCTTAATTATCTAGTAAAATGAGAGATGCACGCATGAGACAGCAACTACCAAGCTGAGCTGGTTAACCCTTACTTGTCAATTCACCGTTTCAGAATATAATGCATTCTGTGTAATATTTTAAAAGCGTACACCAAAACGTTGTGATTGGTTTAGAAAGTTCTAAACAATGGAAATCCATCCACTGGCGTAACGTTATTTTCATCTTGGTGTACGAACAATAAGAAAACCCATAGTCCTTTAGATTCTGAAAAGGCAAATGTTTCTTATATCTTATTTTTGATATTAAATGCATCCTCAATCTCAATTTGTCAACCAAAAAGCTTTGCAAATTTAGAAAATGACTTTCTGTGGTTGTATACGTTGAAATGCTAATTGTTTCGTAGTTTTTTTTATTTTGGTACGATCCCCTCCATTTTACATGTCAGAGTATGTGTAAACAGGATACAGAGACTTTCCGTAATTATTTAATAGCACGGAAACACGCATTGTGACATACAAGATTTACAAGATTTATTAATAACGCTCAGACTCATAAATGTGTAACATGAGGTCAAAGTATAATACATAGACAATTGAATGACGAAATGAGCATGCAGTACTATTTAAACACACAGAAATACATTTGTAAATATTTTAGAATAAACAAGCAATTTTCTTAATACAAAATGATAGACAAACAAGTAATTATTAATATTATTTCGAAACAAAGACATTCAGAGTAATTTGTATAAAAAAATTTGCATACAAGCTATTTTTCACGCAATTCAAATATGTAATAAAAATATACCTTCATGTGCTATTTTATGCCATTTAAAAAATATGAGGGGTCCATGTACTCGTTTTCAAGTTAAATCATTTTAAATAATATAAAAATCAGTCGAAAAATGCATCTTTTACCGATATCTCATAGAATTAAATTTATTCACAAAAATGAGTTTTTTTATGAACAATCTGTGCAAATTTGGGCAATATTGAATAACTTATAGCTTGAAAACATATCACGGTGACCCTTACTTTTAATTATATTTTTGAATAAAAGTATAGTAAAATCTTGATTTAAGCAAACTATAAAAACAATCTATTTGAGAGTATATGCAATGATGATCCACCCTAATCGATTATTATTTTTCGAAGATATAACTGTACAATTTGACAACGCTTATATATATATCATTTTATGTAACCACAAAAGGTTAGTAATCTTTTCAGATTAGGTTGTTAATAACAGAAAATGACTGATGCCGGTTATTTTGAACAAATTCATATTCCAACGGACGGTGTTTCTGACGACTGATTTTGGTAAGGCAACTGACTGATATTTGACAAATCTTCAGTGTTTTGAAGAAAGACAGAAAGACATCTCTTTTCTTAAGAAAACAAACATAAAAAACTGCTAAAAACTTTTTTAAAAGGTTTGTGACACATATTCATTTGGGTTTTATTTGAAAGAAAGAGTACACAAAGCAAAAACCTTCTTATAACTTTCTTGAAGAAATCACTTGTATATATATATTGTTTAATACTAGACATGTTTTTTCACAGGCATGAGATAAATCATATTTTTAAGATCAAAACACCAAAAATCTTAAATTCTCGATTAATTAATTGATAGATACAAATATTTTGTATTTTAAAAAAACGTGAAAAAATAATTATGCTTGTCGGTTAAATGTATTTGAATTCTTTGTTCTCAAAATCAATAAATACCTTAACACAAAATCTAAAGAGAAAATCACTGGTGGAACTGAATAAGCTTATCTTTTCACATGCTACAGGTATATTATCCATACCATGAAAAGGTGAAGATGTGGTTTACAGAATAAGGAACAATGAATTAAAAGTTGAAGAATATATCAAAATAGGAAAAAACAGTATATTAAATAGAATAATGGGATGCTCAAACATAAAAATTAATAATTGTAAAAAATAAAAAAAAGAGAAAAAATTGTTAACATTTAAATAATAAAGAACTGAAGACCCCACAAGCCAGACCTAATGGACTTTAAACTTCTTTGTTGAAACTATATTTAAACATGTCAGTCAACCGTGATGGTTACTAATGAGGACATATTATGTTTTGAAACATGGCAGCAATGGAGAATTATCAAGTTGTTTTGCTAGTGTCTGTATTTGTTTTGATTGGTGCATTTTATGGAAACACTGTTGAGCAAAGAATATTCCAAATAAAAAAACGATCTACTTAAACATGAAAAGGAAATAAAGGAAGAAACAAAAGTGAAAGTAGAATTGGAATCGTCGAAAAAGGAACTTGCACAAGTGAAAGTAGATTTGGAGTCGACGAGAAAGGAACTTACAGAAGTGAAAGTAGAATTGGAATCGACGAAAAAGGAACTTAAACAAGTGAAAGTAGAATTAGATACGACGAAAAATGAACTTACACAAGTGAAAGTAAAATTGGAATCGATGAGAAATGCACTTAATAATGTGAAAGTAGAATTAGATACGACGAGAGAGCAAATTAATAAACTTCGTAAAGAAATGATAGAAAAAGACAATACCCGCAGGGAAGAAATAAGTCAAATTCGAGCAGACGTAAATGCGTTACGCGAAGAACTCAATAAGATAAAAACAGGTAAATAAACACAGTCGATATACCATGGTATTAGTATGGGCAAATGTCCTTTTTTTTAAAAGCGCAAATGTTCTATGAAAAAGCGCAAACGTCCTGCGCCGACTAGTAACAATAATCTAAATCATACCCTTTTTATATACTAAGGGGGCATCCACATATCTTATGGGTTATTGTAAAATCTATTTTTGTCCCCAAAATGCACAATCTATTTGCCGATTGATGTTAAGAAAACATTCATATTCATCAATTTATCACAATTTATAATGGGGTAAAGATCACAATTACCTAATCAACGATATAGCGACCATAAATCAGTACTTCAGTGGTGGTCGTTCCATTATTAAGTTATCCTTTGTGTATCTTTTTTAAGATTTACAGGGGTTAAAACAAGTGGTCCATTGCTTCTGTACTAACCTGTATTACCCTTCAAGTTTAATACTTTAATCGATGAATGCCGTATTTGTTTGTGACCTACTATTTTGTTCTAACGGCTTGATGCGTCTAAATTTTTTATTTATTCGGCCTTTCCGACATGTACAGTCAAGCGTTTCAAGCGATCGTTGTCATGTTGTACGAAAGAAGTGTCGTGTTCGTCAGTATCATCTACTTATTTTATCAATAATAAATCAATATACATTTGAAATCAACAAAATCAAACAAATCCATGAAGTGACCACGGACAAAGAAAACATAATCTACTATACAGACATTAACTTATAAAATCAAACCGCTTTTAGAGAGAGAGAGTTTACGAAATCAGTTTCCATGTTATCGAGATCGTGATTCTCAATTGATCAGTTTCCATATACATGATATAAACTGACTAATTTAGACAGAATAATCAAACGAAAAACAATGGGCCAATGATAATTGCTTCTGCGCTTGGCATATTAAAGATTTTTAACAGGCATTTCAATACTCACAATTTTAGCTATTCCGAATGTTTTATAATCTCACCCTTTAATTTTTCCCCATCAAATATAACTGTTACCTATCACCTAGTTATTTCTTTATATTTGTTAAAAAAAATTTGAATACACAAATAAATCATATAGTTTCATGTTTTTATTTTGTTGTTTACTGAAAACAATTCAGTAAAGTCCATATACATTATACTTCTTTTTCAGTAAAAAAATCAGTTATCACATTTTATTTCTTACAAAACAATCAGGCTCATCAGTTATAGAATTAATCTTTTACAATTACTCCTTAAAAATATTTATATGAATAAATATACTGATATTTTGTTTAATTAGTTTTTTTTTTCATTTACATGTTCAGACATACTTTATGCTAGCATTCTTTTAAAATGACAAATGCATTATTAAATATTTAGAAAATTTATAGATCACTATTACTGACAGCGTAATTTAACATTCATGTTTTACAAAATTCAAACACAAAGTCCTGGGTTTTATGTTACTCTGTCGTCCCATACTACCTTACATGAGACTCAAAGAATAGAGTTCGACCAGATTATAACTGATGTTACAAATAATTATAATAAGATAACTGGAGTTTTTACAGCTCCAAAGGACGGCCTCTATCATTTTTCGTTCACAATATTCTCGTTAGGAGGTACTGATAATCTACATGCCGAGATCATGCAGAATCATCAAGTGATTGGTCAAAATTATGGACATTCCGACGGAGTGTCAGCAACAACTAACGTGGTGATTTCTTGTAAGAAGGAAGATTCAGTGTATGTACGTCACATGGCAGGAAGACGTATTCAAACAATTTTTGGGGACAGATATCAAGCATTTTCGGGATTCTTAATTAACTAATAATTCGAACAGGACGATGCAATCATAAAAGAGTGTAAATCTGGGGCCTGTTTATCGAAGCAGTATCTTAGTCCTAAGTGGGTTTATCAAATATGTCGCAACTTGGGAAAATCCTAAGAATTGTCCTAACTTTAGTAAAGCAATTTAGGTGTCTTAAGATGGTCTTAGGAGGTCCCAACTTAAGGATAAATTAAGGATGGGCTTTTAAAATCAAATATTGGTTGCATTTACTATATCCCTCTTTTAAGCAAAATTTGACTATCCACTAAAAAGCAGTTTTACTTTTTTCCTCGTCGTCCAGTAGAGTCTGCAGCTGTAGTTTTGCATCGGCAACATTCAAAATTCGTCTCTTGCTCATATTCACACGTATATTATATGCAGTAATAGAATAATTGTATATATATCTTTATTCTCGTAAACCAAAGTACAATGGTACAGAGACATATACAAATAAATTAACATAGTATAAATTTTAAATACAAATATAAAGTAGAGACATAAAGTGATTACCCAGGAGATTCTAGGCATTTAATAATAATTCTTAAACTTGCACAGATTGATTAGTTCAGACGGGTTGCTACTATTCATTAGACCTTGAAATTTTAAAATATTAGGACTGTTTATAAAATGATGCTTTAGTAGCAACTGTCTACTATCGTCTATTGCCGAGCATTCTAAAATATAATGGAACTCGTCGCCAATATCACCGGAATTGCACAGAGTACAGATACGATTTTCTCTCTGAATGTTTTGCCATCTACCAATTTCGATAGGAATTATTGTGTTCAAAGTTCAAAATCTACAAAAAGAAGCAATATTTTTGTCATCTAAAATATCAAAGTAGGGTTCGAAATTTATACTATTTTTGAATAATTTATAATTTAGAGCTTTTGGAGAATTCTGTACAGTAGCATACCATGTCTGTCTGAACTGGTCAGTTAATCTTAATTTAACAGTATCATACAACCAGTTTTTACTTATAAAATATTTAGTGTTCCATATATTGAAGTACTCAGTTTTTTTTTATATATGAAAGATGTACGAGATTTGCCTTTGAACTTTTAAGTATGAAACCGTGACACTTCAAATTCAGCTCACTCAAAGCATATAATGATTTTACCGATTATGTAACTATTTGATTTAACTATTTACAATTAGTTTGTTCAATTCTTATATAAAACGTAGTTATATTTTTTGTTTAAATGTATAATTATAATTTAAAAAATATTTCTTATCTTTATTTCAAAACTAATAATTATTCTCTAATTATTATTAATTTTTTTAATAATAGTTATTGGTTAAATTTGTTACAATATTTCAATTTTTTCAATTTTTAATTTGCTATTTTCTTTGACGCCAATACTTAGAACAGCGGTTCCAACATCCTAGCTAAGATAATCCTAAGATAGCTTCGATGTGCATGATGAGACATGTCGTTAGTCGCTCCTAACTTTATCCTAATTTCTGTCTTAAGAAATTCTTATGGCCGATCTTCGGACAGTTTCGATAACAGGCCCCTGTTCTGTAACAAAGAGTGTCATTTTCAAGCTGAAGTGGTATTAACCCTACCACTTATAGAGTTGACTGGAGATATTTCTACATTGTTAAATCCATTCATATTCTGAAATTATTTAATAGGGTCTAGAATCAATATAAAACTCCAAGTACTCGCAAAGCGGTTTCTGTTCGCACCGGCTGACAAAGCAGCCAATAATGTAGTGGGGTGGGGCGCATGTACTATTCAAATTTTCTCCAAAACGGAATGATCAATTCTTCTACATTCAGGTCCGTATGTTCCACAGAGAGTCGTTTGTAAACAAGCATATCACTGTCACTACCCAGCTACCGAACATTTGAAAGTCCCTACTATGTTCTGGTTACATGTACCTAAATTGCACAAACAACCATTTAAATTCCGTTTCATCTCCGCATCTAGTAAATGTTCTACTACTAAATAAAATTGAGAATGGAAATTGGGAATGTGTCAAAGAGACAACAACCCGACCATAGAGCAGACAATAGCCGAAGGCCACCAATGGGTCTTCAATGCAGAAAGAAACTCCCGCACCCGGAGGCATCCTTCAGCTGGCTGATAATCTATCAGTGCTTCTAACTACCTCCCTTACTACTATCAAAGAACTTGTTATTAACTGTTGAAATAAAGCTTATGAAAATAATGGTATTAATTAGTGATGTCAAATCGAACAGTTTTGACTTACCGGTTACTCGAATAATCGTTCGACCGATTAACCGATTAACCGATAGTTTAAGTTGATGTTTGAAGATCTTATCTATTGTTCCCTACAAATGTACGTTTTTAGTAATACGATAAACTGAAGTTTCTCCTTTGGCATTATAAGACTTGTCTGTGAGGATTCCTGGCGAAGTTTCACTTTTAATAATCTAATACTACCGTATCCACTATGGCGATTGTAATAATTTCAGATTGAAAAGATAAACAAAATTCTTGAAAATGTCTAAAACCGATGATTTTTTCATTTTCTCTTGATGTCACAAAAATAATGTGGAGTGTTTTAATTTGAAATGGTTAAGCGTGTTACTCGTACCAGCATGCAAGTATACATTAATTACGTTCACGTTGATTTGCATTTCACAATTTTTTTAGTTGTTATTTCGTTTAAAGTATCACACAGCCTTGCATAATTGAGGTTGCACATTCAGATGAAGGTCTACGTAATATAAGATCAAAAATATAATGAAGTAAGTCGTAAAATTAAATCGGAGTACTGATTTTAAGTTACTGTTTTAACAAAAACATGTATACTAATTATGTTTAATTAAGATCTTGCCCCGAGGTGATAGACCAGTTGCCTAAGTTCTAATTAATTTTATGTTTTTTGGATGAACAATAACAGTCAATATACTGGACAATTCATCTGTCAAATTGATTACCACGACGATTATTTGTTTTTGAATAGAACAAAATTTTTCAATGATTTCATTACACATTTATATCAAATCTATTAAGATTAAAAAAAAGTCCGGTTAACCGGTTAGCGCTTTTGGTATTCGATATTCGGTCCTTCCAACGGTTAACCGGTTAACCGTTGACAACACTAGTATTAATCATTTTTGGAGTGTTAAAAAAATCTTTAGAGGTTTTAGATAAAATACATTCTTTTATGGACCTTTAATTCTGTTGAGAGTTATGATTTTTCTACTCTCTGCACTACATTTCTACACAATCTTATC